GAGGAGGGAGAGCAGGAGGAGGACCAACAGAATGTTAATAGACAGCAACAGCTGGAATGGGATGACTCCACCCTCAGCTATTGATTCCCGCTGTTCCCTTTGTCTTTCTGTTCCCGCTCTAGAAGACTCCACTGTAACACACTCCATTGGTACTGAGGATTCATGGTGTTTAAAACAAAAAAAATTCATTCTGGCCAGTAGATTGACCCCCCCACCTCCCGTGTTTGTGTTCTGTCAGTCCCTGATGTTTAGGGTTGTAGTTTAGCACCTCTTCCTTCAGCCTTGCCTCAGTGACTGGATTTTTTTTACGCTCTGTGAGGAACCACCTTGCACTTTTTTCTTCATGTCATCTCAGCTAAGTGACTCTACAGCTCTGTAGCCATTGCACATGAATTTCTGAACTGTCTTTTTTTGCTCAGTGAAACAAACTTGGCTTTGTTCCTTTTTCTCCTCTTTCTAAAAGATGCAAAGATTGCTTGTTGGCAAAGGGTAAAGCTGCTCATTTCAGCCTGTTGATTTCTTTTAATTTTTTTCCCCCTGAATTAGTGCATGTGTAAAGTGGCAGAATGAGGTTAATATGTAGAAGATTAACAAGACTTTTTAATATTTTGTAAATATCTTGGAATTATGTAATTATGTCATTTGTGGTAGTGAAAAACAGGGAATTGGGGTTTAAAACACGCTAAAGTGAAAAATCATGCAGCATGAACTATTACAAGTCTCATCCTACTGCAGCAGGAGCACGGGCACAGTTCTTAGTGTAGATGTTCAGTAACTCTGTCCTTGGCCTTGACTCGATGTGCGCTCCCCGCTCTCCCTCAATTCCTTCCTTTTCTTTAACCCCCTTTATTTTGCAGAGGGAACACAAGCTTGTGAGAAATTGTAAAGGCTTTAGGAGCCTCTGCAGAGGTTCAGCTGCCCTGTGCAATACAGTTGTTGGGGTTTCATTTTTATTTTTTTATTTTTTTTTTTTAAATTTTTCTTTTCCCTCTCCAATTAAGTCTTGGCATATAAGGGCTTTTAAGTTATTGGGGAAAAAAAAACACTACATGGATGGTGGGCAGATCCATGGGGCTGTGGGGTGTTGCCACAGCTCCTGTTAGTTCCAGGGAGGCTGCCTGTAGTCCAGTGCTGGGCTGTTTGTACTGACAGGGTGGGTGTTTGTAAGTGATGGATTGTAATGAAGCTGGAGAGCCTGAGCCCTGGGGACCTGTGCACCTTGGCTACCAGTCTACATAAATAGGGGTTTGGGGGTTTTTTTAGTTGTTCATTTTTTTTCTGATTTGGCAGAGGGAGGATTTGGGGTGTAGCTGATCCCACTGACCACTCCTGCTCCTCCCCTGCAGCCCCTTGTACAGTAACTCGGACTGTCGGTGTTTTAAGCCTTTGTTTACACTTAGTAATTGTGTTTTCCTGCTGGTGAAAAACTGTAGCATAAATCACCCAACCAGAAAACCTTGGGAATCACGTTGCTGTTATTCCAAGTGGAGCTGACTGGGATTGTTTTCCATCACAGTTCTGACTTGGGACTGCAAAGGACAAAAGCTGGAAGGTACGAAAGTGCTGCTGCCCCGGGGTGGGGAGCGCTGGTTTTTCTGTCAGGCAGGGCTCGTTTAACTTTCTTTGGTCTTATGCAGAGTCTTGAATAATGAATTTCTGCTTGATTTCTATGGAGGTGGATTAAAGAGTAACTTGTTTTGCTTGTAACAGGAGCCTGGGACTGCATGCCCTCCTCAGCACGGTAAGCCAAGCTCCAGTGTTTGCTGGTGGGTGCAGAGCCCACACGTGTCACACAGCAGGGCCAGGGGCACTGGGGATGGTGCCAGAGGAGCCAAAGGGTGGGGCACAAAGGGTCCTAATTAATCAAGAGAGATAAAAGATTAAGGGCTGTTCCAAATGCTTGTACAGTTTGCTTTTCAGAGCAGACCTGTTCTCACCTCGTGGTGTAACAGGACCTGTGGTGGGTTTGATCCGGGGGAGCCTTGACTGTGGAGTGCCTTTACAATAGGAGATGGACCTGGAAGCAGGGAAGAGAACCCACACCAGAGCTTACCGGTTTTTTGGGGTTGTTTTGGGGTTTGTTTTGGGGTTTTTTTTTAAATGTAAAATTTTAGATTTCTAAAACGGGAAAATGGTTTTGACTACTTATGTGGTAATTAACTGCTAGTTTTAAGTAAACTGGGAAACTTTTAACTTATGTCTGACAGTTGTCCTGTGTTAATGTGTAGAAGACTTATCCTTCCATATACTGTTGCTGTAGCTGCTGTATTTTAGACCAAAACTGATCATGACTTAATGGTAATACTGAGGGGTTGTAACGTCCTGATGCAGTTTGTAGCCACTGTGGGTATAACTTTTCAGATGTGTATATTGGTAACAGGTCAGTTTGGAAAGTCTATAAGCTACAATAAATTTCTGGTTCTAAAGGTTGTTTGCATTTATTTTTTCTGAGTGGAACAAAGTAGAATCAATTAATATAAACTGAGTGTTAATTTGCCTCTGCTGGGGGAGGAGGAGTCTTTGTTTTCGTTGATCTCAAGCACAGAAGGACTCGGCTGCATCTGTGGACAATTTATCAATATTTTTTATTTTTTACTTACAAAACATGTACCTAAAGCAACTGAAAAGTTAAACATGTAAACATTCTCTTTTCGCAGAACCACAGTTTGGCTTAAAAAAATACTTCTTTTTTTCAAAGGCAACAGAATAAGCACAATCAGTTTGTACAGGGTGAGTTAAAAAAAAAATGACAGAAACATCTCTAAATAAATAGAAATAGGTCTATCATTCTGAGCATATTTATAAAATGAGAAGCCACTTATTTATGGTGAAATGGAATATTTTTGCAAGTGATTTAAGTTTGAATCTTCAGTACAATTCACTGGCTCAAAACCATCAGGTGAGGAGCTGCTGCTTTGTGGATTTGGAGTCAAAGGCTCTTTGCTGACCCATCAGAGCTTCAACAAAGATGCTCTTCCAGGAGTGTCCAAGGAAGAAGGTCCACGTGATGACTCACTGGATTTTTACTTCTTGGGGGTAAGTCAAGTTTCCAGACTGAGTAACCTCTGTGAAACTGGGCCGGGTGGAGAAAGCCCTGGGGAACTGCTCAGTCCCTGCAGCTGACACTGAGACACCTTTGTCTTATTGCACTTCTCACACTGAAGGACAGGGGACAGGAGCCACTGCTGGAAAACTGTGATTAGGGCCTGAGATTCCTGCTGGGAGCCTGGAAACCAGGCACATCAGAGGGCTCCTGGGAGAGCAGGTTGTGGCAATGCAAGAGAATTGCTTTTCCAGGCACAGAACTGTAGTGTCTTCCCTTCCACAGGAACGTACAAACCTGGTCAGGGGGTGGGTTCAGTGCATCTCACCTTGCCTGGGGCACACTTTTTGCTCTGTAAATTGGTTCAATAAGGAAAGAAACAGCAATATTTATTCTCTGAAATGGAGCAGAGGCACAGGGCCTGTTCTCACTGATCAGCCTGCAAAGAGCTCTGAATCCTGCAGGATTTCCTTCTAGTACCAAAACAGCTGTCAGAGCTTGAGTGCTGCTTCAGTCACACCCAGGATCATTGGAAAGGTGCAGGAAAAGGGTTACATAAAACTAAAATCAAGTGTTTTCTAGGCCAGAACTGCTGCTTCTACCAACAGGTGCTAGAGAGGGAACTTGGTTTGTCTGAGTAGGTACAAACCAGAACAGACCAGACCCCACAGCTTAATATCTTCTATGAAAAGACACAATAAGTACTTTAAACCACAATTTAGATTAGAAACTGTAACACTGCTAGTGCCTGTTGGGATATAAAGGTAGAGAAGGGTTTATTCCAGGTGTTTCAGATTCCCCTCCCTGACCAAACTAGCATTACTTACTATTTATTTCTTCTTACAGAAGAAGTTACTGTTTTATAAAGCAGTGTTAACTTTGCTCTTTGCCAGCTGCACAGCTGACAGATTTGAACTGATCCCCTTCAACAAAAAAGGTGGACCTAAACAGCCATTCTAGGGCAGTATTTTTTAATTTTAAAGTACTGGGGTACCTGATTATCAAACAGAGCTGAAAGTCAGGAATGAGTTGCACCCATGTGCTGGGTGCAAAAATCAAATCAAATTTAGATCATGAAGGGAAGATTTATTAAACAGGCCAGTTCAGTCTCCTGAACTTGCTGCTTCTGTGGGAATTTTAAAGCAGACTTGAATGCTAAATTTAGGAGAGTCTAGTCCATCATTTGACAACACATGTACCTGTTGTTACCTGAGAACCAGGATCTGCAATGCCTCTATTTTTACCTACGTGAGAGAAGTGAAAGAGTTTAAAAAACACTTTACAGTGAGTAAAAGAAAATTGTTGAACCTAATTAAAGGCAAACAAGTGAAGTACAGGATTCAGCTTTGGGGGTGTCTTGAGAATTAGACTTTGCTGTTCCTTGAGAGGGCAGGAATGGTGGTACCTCCACAGGAACCTGAGGGTGTGGGGAAATGGAAGGAAGGACCCAAGGAACTGGCAGAGGAAGCAGGTCCTGCCCACCCTCCTGTGTCCAGCAGTGGCTCCTGCTCCCTGTCCCTGGGCAAGCCCAGCACCCAGAGCTGCTCCTGGTGGGGCCATGACCTGGAGACAGAGCTGTGACAGCAGAACTGTGGGATTGATCCCAGCACCTTGTGGGAGAGGGGAAGGAGGCTGAGGAGGCCCTGGGCAGGGGAGGAGGCTGGAGGAGACACTGTGTCCCAATTCAGGCACCGGCACAGCTGAGCCCCCCCAGACCCCCAGCCCTTGCCAGCAGCTCTCAGAGCAGGGTAGGAGTCTGGACTGTGGCTGGGAGGAGGAAGAGGGGGGGAAAAGAACAGGGGGAATACATTTGCAAGAAGATGGGAGTTGAGATGCAACTTGCTGTAAGTGTTTGAGTGTTAAACCCACTCATCCTGGCACTCCTTGCACATGAGGGCAGTCTGGCCCAACAGCTCGGGCACAGAACGGTGCCATCTGTGCCAGCTGCCTCTGGAGCTGAGTGTGTAGGTGTGGGGCCCTGCCCTGCACACACATGGTACAGGGAGACCAGGTGGCAAACCAGCTCCTAATGTACCCCAGCAGGAGGCACTTGGAGCCACAAACATTCCATGCCCATTTGGAAAATGCAGTCTTACTGTTTTCAGGCTTAAAACCAAAATAAATGCAGGAATTGCTTGAGGCTCAACTAAAGCCTGACTTGGGAAAGCAAAGAAACTACCTGATCCAGTGGCCACTGAACCTGCTGTTGTGGCATCAGTTATGTCCAGCAACAGCTGAGTTCCAGCTAAGTTTGAGAACACTTTGGCCTCTGGAGCAGACAGAAAGCAATATGACAGTGTGGGTATCTTTATCCTGTCACAATGCAGAGTAAAACCATTTGTCCAAGACAGCTTCAGGGCTCTTTAAACTGATCCCCCCTTGGTGGACAGTGACACAGGGCAGTGCTGAAGTTAATGCCTCTGAGCTGTAATGGTGGTGACCTGCAAGATGGGTTACAGGGATGGGGGGGGGAGGTCCTCTGTTCAGCTAAATTCTCAATAAAATATAAATACAGACATTAGCACACTAGAAGGATGTTACAACTGCCTCAACTCTTCCATTAGAAGATGTATTTGAAGCTTAATGAGTTCTAAGGGTACAGCACCTCTACCTACCTTTCACTGCACGCAGTAATTTTATTGCCTCACGTCTCTCCCTTGTCCCCCAAAGCTCTACAGCAGCCACGGGGGTGTGGCTGAGGACAGGCCAGCAGTTTTTCAGTCATGGAGCAATGTCTGGGAATGCAGGTGGGGGATCTTCAACTCTGCAACTTCCACCAGTCTTTCCTTACCAGCCTGTCTGCCTGGCTGGGCTCAGAGCAGGTGTTGTGTCCCTGGAGCAGGGCTGTGCTCTGCTGCTCTACTGCCTGTTGTCCTTGGACACGTTGTGTGCCAGCCAGTTCACTTTGGTTTTCCAGCTCTCTCGCAGGGCTTCGTTGAACTTTAGCCTGAAGTGCTTCAGTGCCTCCTCATCGGTTTTCCCAAGAGCCAGGGAGTCCTGGAGGTGAGAGGAACAATTCAGTGTGGCCTCACTGTGAGCAATTAGCAGCTCAACTAGTAAGATGTGTACTCATTAAGATATTACCCCATTGAAAGGAGCACGGAGTAGGAAAGGAACAGCCATTAATGTTTTTTAATGGTTACTTTAGTTGCATGAGGTTTTTCACTAATAAAATACTTCCATTCCACTCTGCTGATTACAAAGGTGCTGTCCTGCAGCTGGCCAGGGATGTGTGGTTATCACTTATGGGGCAAACTGGGACCAGGAAATGATGCACAGCCAAAGGCCTTTGTCTCCTTCCCTGCAAACTGGTTCTACAAGGTACCTGCTGCCCTCAGGATGAAGAACTTCCAGTGATTTCCTGAGCACCAGTACCTGGCATTTCCCATGTCCTGCATCTACTCCTTCTTTCTGCTTCTAAGACACCTTCCACACTGACTCCTCCTCCCTGAGCCACGGGATCAGGTGTTCAGTGTTCCCCCTGCCTGGGCTCTGCCTCTCTCACCTTTAGGTACTGGATGTCCTTGGAGCAGCTGAGCTCTGGCAGACCAGCAGCTTTCATCAGTGCAAAGAGGTGCAGGAAGAGGAGCCCGTGGCGCCGCAGGATCATGTAGGCTCTCTCACAGTAACCCCTGAACCTGAAACAGAGATGGCAAAGGAGTGAACACTGCAAACTCTGCCAGTTTATAAAGCAAAGCTACAGATCAGTCTGAACCCTGCTGTCTCCATGGATGATACCAAGCTCTGTCACCTTCTCCAACAGGTAGATAATAATTTGCTTACTTTCACGTGTACAGGCTACATATTGCTGGAAATAAATTCTAAATATGCAGAGATTAAAAAGCTGAAGTGAGTTTTCCACTCCCAGCACTCACCTTTCAAACTTCTCGTTGTTGTTAGTTTTTCCTTGCTGGATGACATGCACAAAGTCGTAGGTTAAGATGAAAGGAACTCGTTCTCTGTTAATACCAAATTTAGTCTTGAAGTTCCCCAAAAAGTGACCAAAATCAATATGGAACAGCTGAAAATAAAGAAGGAAAAATGTTTTTAGAACAGTATCTATTTTAGCTGATCAGTGTTGAGTTCTCTTCAGTTACTGAAATCAGCAGAAGTGACCAGAGGATTTTGGGAGGAGAAAAATGACCTCTCCCTTAGCACCCCTTTGGAAAGAGACAATGTTTACTTGCCAAGATACTTTCTAGTGTGATTAGATGTTGGTAAGACAGAAAGGGAACTTGCCTCTTCAGTGCTTGATATATCTGAAGAAATACCTGATTTACTGTGTCACTGGTGGAAGGAGGCAGAGCACTTCCATGGGCACCTGCCAGTGCAGGCTGCAGTCCCAGGCAGTGCAGAAAGAAACTGTCCTGTTTTGAAGTCACTACAAAATATTACTTCCTCAGCTGAGGCTTCTTTTTCCCTCCTTTGGGTATTTTTTTTAAATACCAAGCCCAGTGAGGTCGTTGCACCCCTCGGGCAGCGACGGGAGGAGGCTCCTGTGCACAGCCTGGGGCACCCTGGCAGTTTTGCAGAGGGGCTGTGACCCCCAAATCCCACTCCCCAGGCTCTGTACTGGGGAGCATCAGCTCCCTGAGGAGGCTGAGGGAGCGAGGGGCCTGTGCAGAGCAGCTCTGGGAGCTCCAGCATCCCCGGGCAGCAATGCTGCAGTTCAGATGATACAACTGGATTTACACTCCTGATGACACTGAGCTGCTCACTGAGCACATTGGCCCAGCCTGCCTCGGCTGGAGGGGAGGTGGGACTGCACTGGGATGTCTCTGTCCACAGTAGGTGTTATCAGGCCCCTATCCCAGCCCCCAGCAGTGCCTGTACCTGTCCTGTCTCCCGGATCATGATGTTGTCGCTGTGCCGGTCCCCGATGCCCAGCACGTACGTGGCCACGCAGTACCCGGCACAGGAGAGGGTGAACTCCTCGATGGCTTGGTCTAAGGCATCCCTAGAGAGGGCAAGGAGGAGATGGAAAGAGAATTTTACTTTGGAAAGCTCTTTTCAGAGCTTCCCCCCCTGCAAACCTGCAGGAGAAAGGAAGGGAATCACGTCTGGGTTCCTGCAGAGCTCTCCCGAGGCAGGACTCCCACCCCTGCTGGACAGAAAGGAGCTGCATAACTGCCTGTAATTAAAGAGGTCTGAATAAGGTTGTCACCACAATCTCAGCGAAAATTATTTAGTCTCAACTAAATTACCTCATTTCTAGATCTCCATGGATCCCAAAGACAAAGAGGGCTCCTAGAGTGACTCCTGTTGGTGGCCCTGCTGCACCAGAACAGCACTGATGCATTGCTGCTGTTTCTCTGTCCAGTAAACCCCCACGTTACAGAGCTGTTGTGCCCCTTTCCTTTTCACCTTCCAGTTCTGGCACTACTCCTCCTGCCCCTTTTCCAGCTGCCAGCACACTGTGTATGTCTGGGGAAAGTAACAGGACCAGGGTTTGGATCCAGCCTGGGGGCAGTGTTACCTTAGGCTACCAAAGATCACAACGAGCTTGCCAACAGTAACCCAGCTGCCTCCATTTCTGCTCCCAACCCACACAGACCCACAGGACACCTTCAGGTGTGCCAGGCAGGGAAGCAGCCACAGACACTGTGGGACAGCTTGGAAATGTGCATAACTGAGGGAAACTGAGGAAAGGGGAGCCCACTCACCCGGGGTTCTTGGACTTGAGCCAGTTCAGCAGCGCGTCCTTGTTGAAAGCTGCCGTGGCCACCATGTTACTCTTGTTCAGCTGGATGTTGGCGATGGTGTCCGAGTGCATGACCACCTCAATCAGCCCAGTCTTGTCTCCTGTGGAGAGGCAGCCATAAGGGGTCATCCTGCAGAGATGAAAGAAACCCTTCCACTGAAATCCTGCCCAGAACTGGGTGGTGTTGACTTTTAAGCTTTCCCTTGGCTGCCATGTCTCCTCCATCTCTCCTCTGCAGTTCTGTTCCCCAGTACCACAGGACCTGCCCAGCTGCTCACACCACACCAGACAGACCTGCTGGGGGCAAAATGAGCTTGCAGAGAAAAACAGCCTCACCAGCCATGATTTATCACTGCAGTAGGACAACTGTGTGCACACCACTCACCTCAGGTCCAGGCCCTCCTGCTTCCACAGGATGTCCATCAGCTGGATCATCTGCAGGGTCAGCATGTCCTGACGCAGGTCTGTACAGGGGAGAAAGGGGCATCAGGACCTCCCAGTGTCCCCTCTCCAGTGCTCCTGTAAGTGGCCCTTGTTCTGTCCCTGCAGCAGAGCTGCTGGAGGGGCCTTTGCCACGTCTGTCACTTGCTGGTCCAGCTCAGAAAGAACACCAGCACAGAGCAGTGTTTGCTGCTGCAGAACAGTGTAAAACCACCCCACCAGCCACCTTAACTCCCATGATTTTACTAAGGGAGGTACAGGCTCACTTTGCCCAAGCTCTTGCCATGGCAGTCACTGTGGCACTGCAGAAATATCTGCCTGGACACAGCAGTGAGCAGCAGCCACCCCAGCCCTGCAGAACTCGGACTGCTGGAGCTCCTTCACACCTCACATCAGGTTCAGGTTTATTGTTCAAGGGTATCCAGCCACCCCTGCACTAAAATCTACAGGAAAGAGGGCTGCAGGTGAAATATAGAGGGGAGCTTATTATCTTTCCAGATTAGTGCCAAAAAACCTGAAAACATTAAAGGTCCTCATTTCCACAACATCTTGATTGTCCATATTTAGGCCCAATCACCACAGTAAATACTTGAGACTAAAGGATATGTTTTCAGAGCCATTAAATAAAGACTTACCATCTCCATTTTTAAAAATAATGCCCACTCCACCTCCACCTGTCTCTTCATTATTAAACACAATCCATAAAGGTTTCATTTTGGAGTCCATGAAGGTGCACTGATCCACACTAGAGGAAATAAAGATATTACCATCAGAGTTCCCACCTGTTAAAAAAGCAGCCATCCAAGCTGCCAGTTCAACAGCACCTACAAACACTGGTGGAGTGGGGACTTCCATGAGGAAAGAACCTTGGGATAACCTGAAACCTGGCTCCACTGCCAAACAAAGCACAGGTGAAGGGGTGCAGTTCCCTTCCTTACCAAACTTCGGCGAGGATAATGTTGGGGTTCAGGGGGGACTGGAGGTGGGAAAGTGCTTCACGGTACGTTTCCTGCTTCATGCACACATGCATCATCTCCTTGGTTTGAGGCTTGGTGGCCTTCTGAGAACTCACTTTAACAAAGTCATTCAGAGCTTTCATCTTGTTGAGTGCTTCTCCCTGGAAAAAAAAAAAAAAAAAGGAGAGTTGGAACGGGGTTAACAAATAGGAAATTCCTGGAGGAAGTTTAAAAAACATTAAAATCTCCCGTGAAATGGAAACCTCGGTTGCACCTTTTATTTTCTCTTCAACTTGTAGCAATTTCACATGTTGCAACAAAACAAATTTAGTAGTATCTGCTTGAGAGAGATCCGTAATTAACTGTGGATACTCTGCTCTGGGCACAAAGGCATTGGAAGGTAATGACTGCACTGCTCTGAATCAGCCAATTGTGACCAGCCCCCACTAAATGATAACTCAGCCACTTTATCTAATAACAGCACTGCTCTTTGAGATTTCAAACCATTCTAGACACACAGTGTGATTTGGGGGGTGTGTGGGTGAGTAAGAGATGAGGGAACTCACACATGATGGGGATCTCCAGGCTCCCAACAGGATGTGCCAAAACCAACAGAGCAGTTACGAGGCTTTTTTGTGTTGCTGATAATGTGAAGTTGGAAAAGCCAACAGCTGAGAACCAGACCCAAGCAAGAGGGAGGTCAACCTTATGGCTGAAAGTGATTTTTACCTGTTTCATCAAAACTTTCATGTGGTGGGTGCTGCCTCTGCAATAAGCTTCCAGGATCAGCCCAAACCTCAGGGAAACAGCAGGAACGTGCATTTCTGACCTGGGGAGAAGGGAGGTTACAGCAGTGCTGACTCACTGCATGACTGACTCATCCTCCCATTCATACCCACACCAGGAGGGTGCAGAATACTGGCTGCTGATTCTTTCTGTGTAATGGGGAAGGAAAAAAAAAATGCCCCCAACCCCAGAAGGTGATGGAGGAAAACCAATGGGTGAGACATTTTCTGTGTGACTAAATCACTAACCACTCCTTTGAGAACGGCACTTGGGGAGCAAGAACAGTTCAGGGCTTATGGCTCAGAGCTGGCAGGTGGCCATGGGTGTCCAAAGGAAATTCCAGCTCACAGGCTTGTGTGTGTGTGTATACACATATAGACAAAAACCCTGAAAACAGAACCTAAGCCAAACTCCACCAACTACAACGGACAAAAATAAATGAACAAAAAAATGTATTGTCCCCTCTTGGAGAGCTGGACTCGGTGATCCTTGTGGGTCTCTTCCAGCTCAGGAAAGTCTATGAAATAATTCTTACTCAGTTGCCCAAGGTAAAAAGCAGCAGTTTCTGGGTTTTGGGAATCACAGCAAGGAAATCCCATCAACGCTTAGGTGGGAGACACAAGCTAAGGGACAGCAAACAAACACCCTGTCAGCTCCACATCCAGCCAGGCCTGCTGTCCCACTCCACAGCACAACAAAGAAACCAGAGAATGCTGGTTTCACTCAATTGCTGAGAAAAAGCCTAAAAGATTTGCCCTTCACCTCAGGTGCCAGAAGAGGAAGTGGCCGATCTTGCGGTTGGATAACGCCCTGTCCAGCAGGAACTTGGTTAATTCACAGTCTAAGTAGGATTCGTACTTGAGCACCTGGACGAGCTGCAGCAGGTATTGGAACACATCATGATCTCTGTTGGCAGGAGGGAAACAGAAAAGACAACCTCATCTTTCCTGCAGAGACAAGGCTGTCAGGCTTGTTCACAGCCCCCCTCAGCAGCCCTGGTCAGGAATAGAAAGGGGCTCTGTCCCCTGGGGATCACACTTACGTCAGCTTCTTCAGTGAGTTGATAGCAAAGGAACCAACATAACGGTCGGGAAAGCTGAAATCCAGCAGCTCCAAGGCATTCAGGACAGGCAGCTCTGGCCAGGTCTGAAGCAGGGAAATCATCTGTAATGGCCAAAAAAAAAAAAAAAAAAAAAAGGCACAAGGTTTTCATGACAATGGATATAAATCTGAAATTCTGCTGATGGAAGAGCAGCTCCTTGTGGTGGGTCAGTATTTATAGATGCCTCACAGCAAGTTGGCAAATACCAGGTCAAACCCTGAAGTGCTTTGTGCTGGTCTCTCACTGTCATTTAAGAATATCCAATCCACATCCTATTTTCCCCATGAATTAAACAGATCTTTTTTCCCTTGCCTCCATTTTTTTTAAGGAATAAATAAGACCTTGTTGGTTAGTAATAAATCTGGGACAGCCCACAGAGGCAAACCTCAGCTGGGAACAGAAAACCTTCCTTTGGGGCACCGTGAAACATCCCCCAGCCAAGCTGGGCCCCCAAGCACAACACAGGAATGCAGGCACTGAAAGATGCATCCAAAAGGGAGTCCTGGCTTGCCAGCCCCAACCTCCTCACCTGGGCAACATCCTCGTGCTTGTTCCACTTGGTGATGATGAGCAGCTTTGCCAGGGCCTGTGGGTACTGGTCGCGGATGTCGTACCTCATCTTCCACACCAGGTCCTTCTCGTGCTCGTACAGCTCCGTGTGGCTCCTCCGCTCCAGGATCTCCCTCAGCTGCAGCTTCTGCTCGTGGGAGTCACAGGAAAGAGCACACACAGGGCTCAGTCTCAACCCAGAGGCTGAGAGACCCTGTAGGACTGGGGCATGGCCCAATTTGGTGGAAAAAGCTGGTGGGGTAAGGTGGAAAGGTCTGACTTGACCCATGAAACCAGGTTTGCATGTAGCTGAAAAAGGGGTGCCAGAAGACTCACCTCCTCAGGATCTTCTGGTGTAGCTCGGGGTGGTTCTCCATTCCTCCCCAACTCCAGCAGCTGGGACACAAATAAAGAGTCTGAGGAAGACTGCTCAGTGATTCTAGCTCACCACCACTTCAGGGATTTATGCTGTGTTAGAGGTCAGTCACTTGCCACCTCTGGAGAAGGGAATCACACCTCTCACAGCCCAATTGTAGGTCAGGGACTCAGCAGGACCCCCCTTGCCCATGCTGCCCCTGCCCTGGTGGTGACAAGGATGAAGGGATGAGTCCTTGCCCCCAAAAGGGCACGTCTGCACTCCCAGAGAGTTCATGAGCTCTGGGTCACTGAGCTCCAGGCTAACACGACCCATCCCAGATTCTCAGAACTGGGGAGTGTTTGCCAAGCAGTCAGAGCTGCCCGAGCCCCCCCTGCACTGGCACAGCCTGTTACACCCCCTGAGCCAGACCCTGCACTGAGGGGAGCACACAGGCATGCCCTGGCAGAGCAGAGCCCCCTTCTCCCCTGTAACAGGCACATTTCTTCTTCCACTTGTCTGCCCAGTTGCAGTGACAGATGGAAAATCCCCACCCAACACAACACGTTATCGCTCTGCTGAAAGGCAGGGAGCTGCCTGTTTTCACTCATTTCCCCTTTTATTCTTCTTCCTCCCTACAGAGCTTAACACTGCCTACAGTTTAAAGGCAGCTCAGTTAAACCCATTTTTTAAACAGGTTCTTGTCTATAAGAGCAACTTCACCTCATTAATTCACAGCTCGGAAAACTTTCACCCAAAGGTCCGTTAGTTAAGAGAAAAAGTCACATTTTCAGTCAGTAATATCTATTTATCAAGTCTGCTTGTGCCCAACTGCCCAAGGGACAGTGACACTGGATGCTCCCACCCCAGCACAGCCAGGGAATTCCTGTGTCTCCCAAAAAACTGTCCCAAGTGTCCCACCTGCTCGAAGGACGGGTAATACACGGGATGTGCTGCCACGCTGGGGAAGCAGATGACCAAGGCTGCTGCACTCTCAGTGTTGGGGTTGCATTGCACTGTGCCCATGGGGTTCAGAAGTTCCCCTTTCTCGTCTGAAAAGCAAAGCACATAAACCCCCTGGACCCAAACGTGAAGCTTTGGTGCAGAAAGCAGAGCACTGCCAGCCCCCAGCACTGCCAGCCCCCAGCTCTGCCACCGGGCACTGCCTGGCCCTGAGCAGCTCCTTCATGGCCCTGACCTCTCCCAGGTGAGGTGCACATGACATCTGCAGGTCAGCAGCCACCCCTTGTGTCACATGTGCAATGCCAAGCACAAGGCCTTCCCCCTGGCAGGGCTCGGGATGCCACCACAGCACAGAGCAGTGACCACACAGGGCCTGCTGGTCTGAACTGGACAGCGAGGCAGGACCTGGGGCACCCCTGTCTTTGTGAAGACACAAAACAAGACAGGAGCTCCATCTCCTGACATACCTGGGAAGGAGGACCACATGTGCAGGCAGCACTCCCCCGTTTTCAGCTGGTCCTTGTAGTCAAAGAGCATGACGTTGACCCAGGCGATGGGACAGTCCTGCAGGGCACAGACAGCAGCTCATTTGGGGCTGTAACTGCTAAAGGGGAGTGAAGGGAAGAGAAGGACTAACAAGGAAGTGAGATATCCCCATCCAAAGGCCTCACAATGTCCAGGAATCCAAAGTTATACCATCTTTTCCAAGTCTGCAAATCCCTGCAGGCAGGGAACTTCCCATTCAAAAGTGTGTGGGGATCCCCTCATCAGAGTTTCTGTAAAAAATTGTATCAGGGAGCCATCCTGTCTGCCTAACTTTTAAGTTCTCTAAAAGTACAAGATGGCATCAAATTCAGGTATTTGCCAAAAACTGAGGTCTTTTGTGTAGCGTTGAATGGCACCAAACACCCCCCACAAATATGGCTAAAAATTCATCACCTGATACTTTTTATAACTAAAGAACCTCAAAGTTTCCAGTAAGGCCTTGTTACTCTACACTCAATGATATTTGAAGGAGCTGTGACGTATTTCCTATATTTCACAGTGTGGGGGGAGGGAGAAGAACCTTAATGTTGAAACAGGGAACACATGACTGCAGAAAACTGGGCTAAGAATGCTAGAAATAGCTCATAATAGGGGAAAAAAGGCTTGGCTCCTTTGTACGAGAATGAACACTATCTGTAGGAATCAAACTTTATGCTGCCAATCCCCCACCACACCCCCAAAATAAAACCCACAAGCCCAAGCCAGGCTCATTTTGGAGGAGGGAGACTCCAGCAAGTGACGGGATTGGGACACGGCCAAGACAAAGAACCTGTCTCCCTGCTCAGCCCAGCTCCCTCCCCCAGAGCAGGCCAGACACATACTCCACAAGTGACCTAAGCTTTCCTGCAGTCAGGTCCCCCAGATGGAACACTTTGCCTCATAGCACGGCCTCAGCACCACCAGCACTCGGAGCTCAGAGCACACCAAGGCTCGAGCACAGAAACCAACTGGAAAAGGGGTTACGTGGCAAAAGCTCTGCTGAGACCCACCCACAGCGAGCATCGTGTGTGAAGGGAACCACAGTGACACGTCTTCTTCCACTGGGGCCTTCTAGAGAGCTCAGCAGGCTTACCCCCAAGGCCACCACAGGCTTGGTGGAGGTGACAGGGTCCCCACTTCCCTCTAAGGCGACAAAATGAATCACTTCCCAGCGGCCTCTCACAAACCCTGGAGCTGATTTGATTACACTAAGTATCTTCAGCAAAATCCCATTTGAGACATCAGCTCCTAGATCGCGGGGAAAAGCCAAACAAAACACCAGCAATAACCTTTTCTAACAGAGTAAATGGCAGCAAACCACAGCTCAGAGCCTGCCAAAACACAAGGCAAGATTCCTGGTGGATATAAGGCCCAGCAAAACAAGGATTCAGCATTCTAAATTCAGACATCTCCTGCATGATTTAGAGAAACACTGAAAGCCAACCCTCTGGGTGACATTAACCCTGTGACTCATTCAGTCAGCCTGAAAACACGCCTGTTTTTGTGGTAGTAAATGACTTAGTCCCACCTATCTGCTCTGCTCAGTCTGCAGAGAAAACAACATGCATGGCATTAACCCTGGGTGAGGAAAAAGATTAATAATCAAAAAAAACAAAATGAAGAAAAAAATCAGGGTGCACTCTGGCTGTAACCTGCTCTTACCAATCATTTTAAATGATTTCTGAGCACCTCACCCAGAGCTGCAGCTCAATGTGTGGAAAAATCCTTTTGTGCAGAGCTCAGTTCCAGTAAAGGTGATTTTTAAACTAAAAGCTCATCAGAATGCATCCACCTCGTTAAGATCCTTTTAACAACTCAGCTAACCAGACTGGGTTTGTCTTGCCAATCAGAACAGAAAGATTTCCTTCTGACTGCTTCAAAACTGAATATTATTCCAGAGCGGTCACAAACATCCAGCCCGTGGATGAATCAGATCTTCTGTCCAACAAAAGCCTCCAGCAGGAGCTGGGACTGTGCTATTCTAAAATAACAAAAAACAACAATAAAAAGGTTGATCCTGGTCCCGTCCTCAGAACGTTTCCAGTCTGAATTTTCCAACCCAGAGATTGGTCCCCACAAGCAGGATTCATGAGTTGTCTGCTGCTCCCAGACATGACTGCACAGCAACCCTGAGAACCCCACTGATGTCAGCCCAACAAAGCCCAGTGAACCTCCCAGCAGAGAAAGGGAGGGAGCAGAACTGCAACCAACATCTTCCACGATCACATTTGTCAGCCAGCCCCTCATTTCTCTGCACTCTAGTAAGGATGGCAGGACTAACCCTCTCTCCGGGGCATGAAAAAGGTGTTTTTGTGGCCACACAAACAATAATTTGCAGAGGAACAAGTGCATTTGCTGCTCATAAAGAAAATTCTCACATACAAAGAGCTCGAGGCTGTGAGTTTAAGTTACAACTCTGGAAAACCTGGAATTCAGTTACAGGCTGCACTTGGATCTAGTTACTGAACCATTAATGGGCTAGAAGTTTTGGAGTAGAGGTGAGGAAAGTGAGGAATATCCCTACCTCTCCAGTTAAAGAAGCTCAAATCAAGAGCTTCCAAAGTGATTTAACACTTTCCATCCTCAGTTTGCTACACCTGAACAACAGTAACCTTGAAGAACCTGCACGTTCATTTTACCTCCAGCTTTGCCTTAACCAGTGTTTACATTCCTCGGTGTATTCCCCCTTCCTAGCTGCTAATTTGCTCCACAGGGGATATGCAGGAAAGACCTTATTAGAAAGAAAATGCAACACAGACGATGGTTTAACCTCAACTACCAAACAAGGAAGTTGCAGAGCAGTGAAACGGAGACACCACCACCGCAAGTGATTCCTCTTTAAGTGCAGTCAGATGCTGGGCATGTTTCTTAATGGCCTTTCTAGAGGAGAAATGACACTTAAACAACCTTCCCAACAGGCAGCCACTGCTCAGCTTCCCGTTCCTGTTGGAGAAGTTGCCGTTACTCTGTAAGCCCTTTTATTAATAGAAAGCCTCCCGAGAGCAGAGGGCCCTTGGTTCAGAGCGGTGTCCCGTGCCCTCCAGCCCTGGCAAGCCTGGCTCAGCCCCACACTGGCTTTACTTACAGCTTTCTTGGACTTCTTCTTGGTGGAACGTGCCTTCTTGGCCTTCTCGATGACGGCGTAGAGGGCGAAGCAGAGCCGGGCCATGCGGGGAAGGTCACAGATGTTGATGTCGAAGTCCAGCCTCTGCTTCCACACGGGCTCTGAGCACACGTTCACTTCTGAGCTGGACACTGTCTTGCACAGCATCTCGTTGCCGTGGAACAGCCCTGCCTGCACCACCAGCTGAGGGAAGGAGGAATAAGGGAACACCATGAACCCGTGGGGAATCGCCGTGTTTGCTGAAGACACACGATTAGGAGAGGAGTGGAACTGGGCACCCTGAACAGGATGTCCTGCTCCTGCCTCTTTCCCAAATCATTGAGACATTCAGTTCTTTAGTCTTTATCTTTACTCAGCTTCAGGAAGGGCATTGTTATCTTCTTACTTAATGCAGACTTGCACATTGTATAACGTGATATATTCCTGCCCTATTTGCTTCCTTTCCCAAAAGGCAGCCATTCCCCTTATCCCCCTTCATGGCAAGCACCCTGCATATCCCAGGGCTCTGCTGCATCCTGCTTTCTGCCTTCACTTTGCCAGCCACCACCTCTCCCATCATTCCCTTCTCAGAGCTGCACTTCCCCTCCTCTGCTCTTTGCAGCTTCCCTGTCCCTCCACACCACTGCAAAATGCCATCACCACAGGGCAGCAGCTCTGCTTGGCTGTGCAGAAGCTTTGGCAGGGCAGTGTTTCTAAGGCTGGGCTTCTGCCTGGCCAGTTCCCTTCCCCTTCCTGCTGTGCTGCAGCTCAGAACCTGCCCAAAGGCTGGATGAAGCACCACAGAGGATCAGGTGAGATCACACTTGCAGCCACTGCTGCCCTCACCACACAGACAAGACAGATGTGACGGGAAAAGCCCAAGTACAAAACCCCAGAGTGAGTCAGTACCCACCTTCATCCTCTCATCTGCATTGACCTTGCTGCCTTGCACCAGCTCGATGTAGAAAGGCTGCTCTAAGGACCAGAGAGAACCATAGTTTGGCTGGAAAGAGAAAAGGGTTCTGATCAGAAATAAATGGAACAAGGACTCAGCTCCCATCACATGATTTTTGCTCCCACAGGAAAGGACATGAAGCCTGGGACTACCAGGGAAGCTGTGGAGGGGGCTGGAAGGCTGCCTGGAAATTCCCATCTCTGAGACCCTTGTGAGGGACTCATCCTGAGAGAGGAGGGAGAACCAGCTGCTGTTCCCAGCCCAGGTCAGCACCTCCATCTACAGACAAGCTGAGGGGACCCCACAGACCACTGTCCCCTTTTTACCTTTTTCTTGGGGAGCGGGGGAGGCTTGGGAGCCATCTTTGGGGGGCTGGCAATGCAGTTGGTCTGCTCATCCCTCATGGCAATGATGGCAGAGCAGTGGACCATGGTCAGGTGGGGGGTCAGCCCTCGGTGCAGGCAGCTGCGGATGTACTGCAGAGACAGAGGCAGGGGGGTCAGAGCCATCACACAAACCACAGCTGGCTGAAGGAGCCAGGAGAGGACACAGCAACAATCAAACTTCAGTTCTAATTTGTCTCCTCTTGCTTCATGAGCCTGGGCTCGTGTTGCCAGAGCTGAGAGTATGAAGTGCCTTTCACAGCTGGCATTTCATCAGTGCACTCAAATGGCTGCATTAAGGGAAAACACTGAGAAGGGTTCAGCGCTCCCAAGAGGAGTTTGCCCTGCCAGGACAACACAGCTTACAGGATTACTTGCCCAGATTTCAGGAAGAGAAGCCCCAGCCCACCACACAAGCAAGCAAATACTCCCAGAACCACGGTCTATAAATGTATTTACACAGCACTTGGCACCCAGAGACAGGCTAAGATCACTGGCCCCCAAAAACATAAGGACCTGTTAAGTTGCCAGAAGTACCCCTTGCCCTGAATAGCACCCAGGTCCTGTCACTGACGTGCTGCACTCCTGTAAACAGCATTGTCTCCTTGCTAACATGTCTCAATCCATGCCCTCAGCGAGAGGAGGCCACGAGGGAACAGATTCTTTGATAAAGCAAGACACGAGGCTCACCTGGAACTGGTACAGGGGGTAGTTCCCGTAGAGATATTCCCACTTCCCGTTCACCTGCAGGGTGTAATCCTCTGGCTTCTGCACCGTCTCGTGGCGGAACACAGTCGCCTGCTTCTTGATGGCATAGCTCATCAGCGTGACGGGGAACTCCTTCGGGGAGATCTGGAAGGTGAAGCTCTCCTGCAACCCCAACAACACAGCACAGGCCGTCAGACACCAGCAAAGGGCTGAGACAGCACACACACAGGTAACAGCCCTCCTGTTGAGGACAACAAGGAGAAGGACAGGGAGCTGGAATCACACAGACATCAGTCAACCAGTGGGGATGGATGTTTGCCAAACTGGGCGGGAGAATGTTTCAGCAGCGCAAGCGTGAGGCTGGAAATCAGGAGCTTCAAGCCCAGTTTAAGCAGAATCACCAGCTCACGTGGTTGCCAGTCATTAAAAACCTTCCCACTGTCACTCCAGCAGCAAGGCACAGGGTGGAAGGGTCACCACGCTCAAACACACTGCTCTGGAAGGCCCTTCTCCCTGGGCATGGCTCCTGCTTCATGCCCGGGCACAACATGCAAAAATAACATTAATCAGGAGTAGCAGGCAATACCAGGGGCCCACAGGCAACACAGGCTGGTGCCTGTAAGCAGTGTGTGCTGAGCATGAGCTGAGCAGACTCGTGAGCTTCCAAAGGAAAGGCATGTGAATGATTTTGTGCTCCTCTCCTACCCAAAACCAAAACATTTCCACCCCATTAACATGCAGCAACCTCAGCTACCAGATAACCAGTACACCCAAGGCATGTTCAGGAAGGGGAACAGCTCCCTTGGTTGGAGGCTCAGTCTCCCTCCCAACCATCTCCACGGGCAGAGGAATCTGGAGAATGAAGATGAACACATGGAAACACTGTCCACACACACATTATTCTGTCTCCAAATGCCCAAAGGGTCCCAAAGGGGAAGCACAAACCACCAAACACCGGCACAGACAAGTTTGTGCTTTACCCCTCCAGACTGGAACTTGATGTTGACGAAAATGTTCTTGGTGGGGGTTTGTAGAGAGCCAGTCCCAAAGCCCTTGGCCATGGGCTCCAGCTGCAGGGGGAAGTTGTACTCCATCCAGGCTGCCCAGCTGAGCTGCTGCCTCTTTGCTGCTCTCTCCTCACAGAACTGGCACATTTTGGTGCGGAAATCATTCACCTCTGGATCCTGAACGGAGTCGAACTCGTGCAAACCTGAGTGGAGAGCAAGGGGGAAAGGCAAAATGAGCATCTGCAGCCAAGGGGGGAAATGAGCCTTTTACTCAAGTGTCTGTGAAAGAGTCTTCCTGAACACATGCTTAATATGTGGCCAAGAGGAGAAGAGTCAGCCAAGCTACCAGCAATCATTTATTTATGATTTACTATTGACTCAACTACCCCAGCCCTCATCCAGCAGGAGGGATCCCCCGGCTTGGGTCTGCACTCCCACTGTTCCCTCACCGGACCCACTGGAGATCAAACCTGCTGATCCCACCTCCCACATGAGCAGGGCTCCAGCACTGCCCCAGGGACTCTGGGACAGGAGCAGTCCCACCTGCAGCCCCGGATTGATGAGGGGGGAACTGACCTTTCCCAATGAGCAGGCTGATCTGGGAGTTAATGACCTTCTTGACCCTGTCCCCTTCCCGGGCCACGAGGCGCAGCACGGGCAGGAAGGGCTGGATGTCGCAGAGCCGCCGCTGCTCGTCCTCCAGCTCCTGCTGCTCGGCCGTCTGGTTGATGCAGGTGAACACATAGGCCTCGGGGTCACTGAGCATGTGGTACAGGGGCTCATACTGGGCGTGCTTCCACACCACCTGGGCCAGACAACAGCACAGTGAGCCCTCCCTGCGCTGCCACAGTTGCAGCTTCCCCGCTGCGGGTCGGTTCCCACCTCCGCTGTCACCCACGCCCTCGCTCTCCCAGGATACACCCCTTAGGAAAGGCAATGCACAGCCCAGCCTCCTCCCAGCACTCCTGGGCCTGCAATCCCAGGCTGCTTCCCACTCTGGTGACTCCCAGCTCGTGCTGAACTGCTCTGTGGGTTTATTTTCAAGTGCCTTTAACTGATTTCCTTTTCTCGTGCTTGCCGTTTGTTTCAGGCAAGGTAAATCCCTCAATCTGAGTGTTTAAATAACCCCCACCTGATCCTCACAGAAAGCACCTGTGACTGTGACCCTGTGAAACAGAGGAATTACTCACACTGGAAGCAAAACTGGGATAAGTACCTTGCCCCCAGTAACATGAAATCTATGACAAGAGCCAAGAGCTTTTCTCACGTCTTGTCAAGACTACCCAGTTCCCAAAGATCCTCCTCTCCCAGGGGACAGCACTCCCACGTGATTGTTCATATCCCATTTTTTACTCTCATCCTAAGTGTCTGCTACAGGCAAACCTGTGGAGCAGATGGGCCTCTGGTTGTGACACAAACCTGTTACCTAGCAGCTGGAACAAGGCTGTTACCTGCTTGATGGTGCCCAAGCTGGCATTACAGGGCACACAGAGGTTTAAGTATATTCCTGTGGGCAGCAGAAAGTCCACCTGGATGTTCTGGTTTTCCCCCTTGGACCAAAATTCCGTAGGGCAGTAAATGCCTGGGGGCATCCTGCTCACTGCTCAGCTACCACCTGCAAGGAAAGGGAAAATAGCCTGTTGCTGTTGACCACATATTGTCTGCTCAATTCTGTGCTGGGTTTTGTTGAAAGTTAAAGTGAAAAATAACCCAAAGAAAGGAAGGTCAGCACAGCCTCATAGCTCAGGAAAACATGGACTTTAGTCAACTTCCCAATCCGGTGTCTTTAAGCCACGTGTAACTACTGCATTTGCTTCTATCTCAGTGCAACCCTCTCTTAATCCCTTCTAGACTGGGATTAACATCTACATGTGCATTTGAGGATGAAACAAAAGAATTATCTTTACTTGAGAACAAAGGCACTTGTCCCAACAGCTCATCTACAACCAAGCAGCCAAGAGAAACAGTGAGTCCCTACCCCTGGCTGTGTAAGGCAATCCTCAGGCCACATGCTCCAAGCTCCACTTTGTTTTTCCAGAGCTCAGTTCCAGCCTGCAAGAGGGAGAAAGAGAGTTGTTGCTGGTTCCAAGTATGCATGGATTTTTATACACACAAACAAATATTACTCTGCTGTATATCCCCTCCCTCTACAAGCATCAGAAAGATGAAGTTCAGGGCCGAGGCAACCAAAATAAGTTTGTTAATTCTATCTGCAGCCTTTCCCTTGGCAGGGCTCTACAATTTATTCTCAGTACACCCAAGGAATGCAAAGAGGAGAACAAGAATCTGAAGGCTCTCAGGTACAAACTGCTGCTTTCAAACACAGGATGAAACAAAAGGCATTCACCAGAAGCCAGTTGGACATTTCCTCTCTCAAAGACACGTAAGACCAAAGTCAGAGACACCCTCACACTCCATCCCATTTGCCCACAAGCAAAATACTCCAGCAATAAAACTCCAGTTTCCTGCACAGATGACAAGCAGCAGAATGTGGTGTCCCCACGTGCTGGGGGAGACTGGGACTGGTGGAATTGGCTCCCAGCAGGAGACAGGGAGGTGGTTCTAACTAATTCTCTCCAAACACCTCAGCAGAGGAACCAGCTCACCTCAATTCCCTCTCACTTACCAGGGTTTTCCACCAGGTCAGCAGAGGAACATCCCAGTGGTCCAGCCTGGAAGATGCTCCATAGCCAAGGTTTCAGCCTCCTGCCCTGAGCACTTACCCTCAGCCCATAAAACCAGCACAAAATTTGCTCATTCACAACTCAAAATACAGCTTTGCAGCTGTCAGTGTGGAAACTTTGGGAGAGGCTGAGCAATGTGCTGCTGGAGATTCGGGTCCCCCAAACCATGGGGTCCTGCAGGCAGCTCCTCCCGAGCCAGCCCTGTGCCTCAGCACGACAAGGAGCCCAGCAGCATCTTATCTGCCAGGTCCTGGGAGAGCACACCACTTCCCTGTCAGCACTGAGGTCAGGATTCCCAGAAACATGAGCTATGTTTTATCTGTCCTGCTTCCTCAGTGCACAGGCTGTATCACACAGCCACCGGATAGGGAGACCGCAAAAACCACCCTGACTGTGCCTGAAGAGGGAGGGCACAAAAAGGGGGAGGAGGCAAGGTTCAAAGTTTGAATAAAGAAAAACAAGCTGGCCTTGTTTTCTGCTCATTAACAATAAAATCAGCAAGTTTCTGGCATGTCTGCTGCCTCAGCCTAAATCAGCAAACCACCACAACCCTAGTGACCAGCAGAGACAGAAGACACAGCAGTGGCTGAACTGCTTCCTCCTGCTGAGCATTTCTACCTGTCACCACATCCCACTGGATACGAGGTGCCTGTCCAAGCAATGGACACTAAAATGTCAAGTTCAAGTGCAATACCTCATCTTTCCCAGCTCACTGATTTAGAGGGATGTAGAAGGGTTTTTCTGTATCCTAGAGTGGATAAACCAAAGGAAGAATAACACTGGAATTTCACCATCTCTAACACATCATTCACCAAGACTCTCCCCTTCCTACTGCTAAATTCAGAATTCTCTGTTTGTTGAACCTCAGATCTGACCCCAGTGTGACAACTATTACATGAGGCAAGGTCTGCATAGATTGGTACTCCTGCACCATCTCACTTCCACCTTCCCTTTTGCCTTGGGAAATGGAACAGAATTCTCCAGGCTGTAACCTTGTTTGCACTATCTTGACCTCCTGAGTAAAAGTAACTACAACTCCCTTTTCTCTGGGTCATTTTGCCATTTATGAGTAGCAGCATCACCCCTTTTTGTCAGGGTTGTTTTTGAGATACACTCTGTCTTTCACTGCAGCAGTCTTTAAAAAAAAACAAAGGATTCTCCATTGTAACTGACAGTTTTTAAAGCCCCAGCATCACCTCAGACTTTCATCCTGGTGGACAAGGGGATTATTTTTAGAAATCCCATCCTGTGGTAGGGTTTTGGCCTGTAGGTCTGGTAGCCTGAGGTTCAAGTTAATCAACCCACACTTGACAAAGTAGTTTCCTGTACAACTTGTGTATCTCTCAGAGCCAGGGCAAGCCAGGGTGAGACAGAGCTTCGTGTTTTAGAGGGATGTAAACCCACAGAACCAACCTCCCCAGGCACACCAAAGACCCCTGCTTGTCAACGCTGGGCTGCAGCCACCCACAATCTACAGTAAGACACCCCCAGTTCTCACTCTTCCTGTTGCAATAAACCCCAAAACATCTTCTTGCTAGAATACTTCCACATTCCCCCACCCACATCTTCCTACGACAGATCTTCCTCCCCCACCGGCCACATCTCCCACAGCCCTCAAACGCTGGGTTTGGGGTGCAGGGCAGGTGCAGGGCTGCATTTTCCACCAGAAGGAAGCCCAGTGGATGGGAACTGGCTGTGAAAATGAGAGGCACGACCAGGCACGAGGCCAGGGGAGGGCCCTGCTGTGGGACAGGCTGTGCCCACCGAGCTGTGGGGCTCTCACAGCTGCTGCTCTCGGGCTGATGATAAACTCTCAAGCTCTCAAACTCTCTTGAGAGCTCTCAAGCAGCTCTCCAGCTGCAGGCACAGTATCTCTTTGGACCTCTCAGACCCTGCCAGAGGAAGGGAAGTGCTCCCTGTCACCCAACACAGGCCCCAGAGCATGGAGCACGTGCCCAGCAGGAGATTCCCATGAGTCCAAACACGAAGTTGTTCCCCACAGTTTCTGGACAATTCAAGTGCACTCCCCCTTTTCACAGGTATTTCTGCTATGTGGAATATTTTTGTAAGGCAAAAGTTAAAAAACTGTGCAAGACACACTTTGCCAGGAAACTAGGGATGAAATCCACGTGGAGCCATTCCACACTGACCCCTGCCTCTGGCTCAGAGCAGCACAGTGAGCAGCAAAGACTCCCAGTAGTGAACAATTTCTCCATAATCCCTCATTAATTCTGAGGTGTGGAGTCACTTCTCAGGGGAGCAATCAGGGAAGAGGCACCCATTGGTACTAATCACGTGCAACAAACCCATCATACAATGCCCAGTCCTCTTCACCACTGGGCAGAAAAAGAGGTGGAGGAAAATAATTATGAGACAAAATTCCACTTTTCAGATGAAGGCAAGTCCACAACTTCCTCTGTTCCCTTTGCCTCAATTCATTATTCACTTTGCTGCAGGAAAGCTACAGGCTGCTTTGCCCTCCTTAAGGTTTCCCCTTGCAGTAATTAGTGTAAAGGTAATAAATGTGTGTCTTTACCATAGAGGAGAGCTGGCCAAGGCAGAGCTGATGTGCACATGGGACTAGGCAATGACTAGCCTGCTAGGACAGAAATAAACCCCCAATTTTACTAAATTTCATGTAGAAAATATAGGCAAGACATCAGTGACAGGAGGGAACACACCTGAGGCATATTTGCAGGTAAAAGTAAATTTATGCCGAGTGTGACAGACACACCTGAGACTACCCAGCCAGTATTTCTGGCATGTTGCCATAAAGCACACTAACACAAATTTCCCCTTGTGAAGTCTGTCAGCCACAGAGCTCTGGTGTTCACAGCACAGGGCCAGCAGTGGCTGGCAGGATCACCCGGGGAGCAGCACTGCCCAAAGTGCCAGTCACTTAATCACACAGAAAAAAACATGTGTAGCTGCTTCCCTTTGCCATAACTGGCATTAGTAAGATAGATTTTTGCTCTCGTGTCACAGAGGTGTTTCCTTTACAACTTCCACTAATCTTCCTGTGAAATACAGATATATTAACTTCCATTATTCTTCCTGTAAAATGCAGATCTGTGTCCCAGCTGTGCCATCAGGCCATCACTGCTCTCTTTCAGTTCCTGTGACAGTGTTGCACCTTCAGCACAGCCCCGAGTTGCACCACAGCTCTATCTGTCTCTGGTTCCTCCTTCAACACACACACAAGTGCAAGACTCGGCTCGTGAACTGGGTGAGGAAAAACTGGGACCCCTTGGAAAGGTGTGGAGAAGCATTCAAACACTGAACAACCCCTAAAATCAAAGGCATTGGCTTCTGTACCTGCAGGGTTTGCTTCCTCTAATCCTAGTTTAAAATGTTCTAATCTCCTTTATTTGGTTTACTGTAATATGACTTCTACCTCTACGAAATATAAAAATCAAATAAAGGGTTTTTTTCAGATTATCAGCTTCTGTTTGTGCATCGATCTCTCATATCCTGCCACACAATCCCCTGCACTGATTCATTCATTCTTTCAGCAGCAGTTCATTGTTCATCCAGCTCTACATGGCAGACACATAGTTACATTGGTTTGATGATGCCTTTTATCAGATTTCTAAGCCCCTGATTAATCACTTTTAATTAACATAAACAAATAGACTGATGTGGATGTACCATAGACTCTACCCAGGATACCTGGGCAAGGGATGACAACACCCCCCCTAACTCTTCAGGCCTCTGAGACACTACAGAGCATCCTCTTCCCTACCAGAAGGGCTGATAAAAAACAGCACTTAAGTCCCAAAAATCAGCATCTTCTGTGCATCAAGATCTCACTGGAGAACCATGGATTTTCCCACCTTCCATGGAAGTGTTCTGGCTATGGGGAAACTACAAAGATCAAGCTTTACACAACCGCTGGATCCAAAGACTCCCTTGGCTTGTGCCCTTCCCTTTATGAAATAAAGGTTTCTTTGCTTTGAGCTCTTACATTACTCAATAGCCGTCTTAGACACACACACACTGCTACAAAACAGGCTCATGGGGAAAAGTAATGGGAAGCAGAAGTACACTAATGTGATCTGAACTGGAGCTAACCTTGTTTGTGTGCAGGGCTGATGATGGAAGGGGTTGTCACTGCAGAGATAGGAAAGCAGAATGGACACGTGGTGATAACAACAGGCTGCAGTTCCCGGGGCTCCCAGCTCCAGAAAGAGCCTCAGAGCAATATGCCATTGTCCAAGCTCAGCAGAACCTTAGATCCAACCAGATGGAACAGCCAGAGGGAGGGAAAGAGGAGCTCAGGTAAAGCAACTTAAGAGAAAAGGAGATGTAAAGCCACACCTCATCCTGGGACAAAAACCAGTATCACCAAAGAGAGACAGAGGAACATCACGGAGTGAGAAAAGCATCTGATGGGAGACTCGAGAATCTTGCTCTGGTGGAAACTTCCAACCAACTTTTAGGCAAGCTCACAGTATTGCCTGAGGAACTATCTAGTAGGAAACAGTATATTTAGTGGTTAGAGCAAGAGTTTGAAAACCAACAGCGTGTAAAGTTCCATTTCCAACCCTGACAATTGTTTGATGCACAACTTCAAACAACGAACTCCTACGTGTTTCAGCTTTCTCACGTGCTCAAGTACAACCTATAACTCATTAAGGATGTTGTAACCCTTAAATGCTGGCAAAGTGTTTGTGGCATCCTTGCACTCTTGCTATTACTGCTCGTTCGGGCAGACTCTGGGAGTTGGAGGAAGTTGTGACAAATAAAAGCTTCCAGCTGAAGAGGTTGCTGAAATTAGGCTTTTTCAACTGCTCCCATGAGTGGACAATGCCAGAAACCCCCCAGGTGCATCTTGTTGATGAAAACAAAACTAAGTCATGCATTTCTAATGACCTCTACCACGACATTCAACTTTCTTTACTTTCAGGTTCCCATCTCGGGCACATGCAGCACACTGTGTTTGGGTGTTAAGAGACTCTCTTCAGAGAGCTCTTAAGAGACTTCCTCGTGCCCTGCCAAAAACACAATCCAGCCACAGCAGAAACACACACGGCTATGAGCAACTGAAC